CTTTGCACAGCTAACCCCAAGCTAGAAGAGCGAGACGGAGCGCTCTACAGCGCTCCATCTCCCTGTTCTGGCTTTGGGCTTAGCCGCGCAGCCTGCATTTGCTCTATAGGACGCACACACATTTCCCCTTAATATTTGGAGGGGGAAAAGTGTGTCCTATAGAGCGAAAAATACGGTATATATCTACATTTAAAAATGGAGCTTAGTGAGGTCCATTTTTTTCCATGAAAATAAAAGATGCTGAAGGGGGAACTGAGATTTCAATCTCTTTGCTGTCCATGCTCTTTTGCTTTAGGTTTTTCCTCTCCCTGGTTCAGTTCCAGGATTTCCAGGCTTGCTTTTAGATATGCCAAGTACCGCGACTATGCGTTGGGCCAAACTTATTCAGAGAAAGCCCCATGGAGGCCATGCTTTCCACAAAGTCCCAAGCAGCCCCTTGTAAGGTCGTGTCAGCATGGATGTTAAAATCCCCTAGAACAACCAAACTAGGTGTCTCCAGGAGAACATCTGCCATGACCTGAAGCAGCTCAGGCAGGGAATCCTTGGTACAGTAGGGAGGTTGGTACACCAAAAGGAATCCTGTACTGCCTCTATTGCTCAGCTTCCAGAACATGCACTCTTCCTCTGTAGTGTTTCCTTAGGACACTCTAGAGACAAAATGATGGACTATGGCTAGCTGAGTCATCTCTATGAAGACAACTGCTTCATGATTTTGAGGAAATATTCATGGAACAAATCACCATGACTTCTAGCATCTAAGGAGTGCCGATAGGCACATTTTCTCAAAGGCTGAGCTTCCTTATATGTGAAAAATCTGATTTCAGTTCCTCTAAATATGAAACAGCAGCCACAATGTCAGAAGAGAGGTGGTAACCACCTTCAACTAGGAACGTGGGGAAAACACGTTCCACTTTGCATTGTAGAAATGCATATGAATATTCATTGGTTTCAAAATTTATCTTTGATTGCTCAAAGCAGTCAACCCTTTTATTTTATTTTATTTTTTAATAATTTTTATTAAAATTTCAATCAAAAATTGAACATCAAAGAAGGAAGAAGGAAGAAAAAAAAGAAAAAAAGAAAAACATCAAAAAAGATACACAAATACACAATACAAATCTCAAAAAGAGAATAAAAAAACACAAGAAACAAGCATCAACAATAAAGAAGAAAACATAACAATTAAAAACAATATCTCTTTTCCATTTCCGTTTTTAAATTTACTTATTTTCTGGACTTCCTCATACCTCCCTCTTTTGTATTCCAATCCAAATTGTTTATCCAGCAATTTCTTTTCCACTTTTTTAATCCCAATCTTTAATTCTAGTATAACATTGAAATATATACCGTATTTTTCGCTCTATAGGACGCACCGGCCCATAGGACGCACCTAGTTTTCAGGGGGGGAAATCAAAGAAAAAATTATGATTCCCCCCCGCAGCTCTGGGAGCAGTGGACAGGCTGCACGTAGCGCAGGCTTCGGAGGCTTCGCGTTGCTATCGCTGAAGCCAAGGAGTCTGCATTCGCTCCATAGGACGCACACACATTTCCCCTTCATTTTTGGAGGGGAAAAAGTGCCTCTTATAGTCCGAAAAATACGGTAACTTCAACTTCTTTAAACCTAATCTTTAGTCGTAATGTAACATTAAAATTTCACCTCTTAATTATCAAATTTCCATTTCATCAAACATCTTTAATCCTAATCGTTAGTCTTAGTCTATCATTAACCTTAACCTGTACAGCTGGAAACCGCTTATTTTCAGTCCAACATCACTCTAACATTCTTTAATTTTGCAATGTTTCTGAAGATAGTCTTTGAATTTCTTCCAATCTTCCTCCACTGACTCTTCTCCCTGGTCACGGATTCTACCAGTCATTTCCGCCAGTTCCATATAGTCCATAAATTTCATCCGCCATTCCTCCAGCGTGGGAAGTTCTTGTGTCTTCCAATACTTTGCGATGAGTATTCTTGCTGCTGTTGTTGCATACATAAAGAAAGTTCTATCCTTTTTTAACACCATTTGGCCGACTATGCCCAGGAGAAAGGCCTCTGGTTTCTTAGGGAAGGTATACTTAAATACCTTTTTCAATTCATTATATATCATTTCCCAGAAAGCCTTAATCTTTGGGCACATCCACCAAAGGTGAAAAAATGTACCTTCAGTTTCTTTACATTTCCAACATTTATTATCGGGCAAGTGATAAATTTTTGTTCTTCATGTGAAATCTCATTTTAGCTATACTGCTAAAAGGGTTGACTGCTAGCAAGCAGTCAACCCTTTTAGCAGTATAGCTAAAATGAGATTTCACATGAAGAACAACCTTCTTACTGCTTTGTTCCTTTCTCCTCAGAGCCAAGGCCCTGTCCTGTCCTGATGGCTGGCTGCAAAACCAGGGCAACTGCTATGGATATTTTGATACCAAGTGTTCATGGAAAGATGCTGAGGTAAGAAATGTTTCTCCTCAACCAAGATGTAATAGAATCATGGAATCATGGAATTGGAGGGTATTCCAAGGGTCATCTAGTCCAAACCCTTGCAATGTAGAAATCTCAACTAAAGCATCCATGACAGATGGCCATCCTACCTTGGCTTAAAAACCTCCAAGGAAAGAGAGGCCACAACTTTCCACTGTCAAACAGATCTTGCTGACAGAAAGTTCTCCCTAATGTTTATAATTTACATCTTTTGGGTTCCTATCAGATTCTGTGAGCAGGGCTATCCTTGCCCTGGAACAATACCTATCCAGCATCTCAGACTTCACAAAAGAGAGTTGGTCACTTTATGTTCCAGTGAAGCATCTCCGTGGGAGCTGAGAATGTGACAATTATGCCAAATCCTCCCCTCCCACCAGGAGAAGAGGGAAGTAATCTTTGTGTGGGAAAGTAGAATAGACTGCAGTTCTGAAATAGATCTGAGACTGGGTTCGCAAAACATTTCATGGCTCTGGCTGTCTCCCTAGAGAACTCATGTATGAACTGCAGATTTTGGCAGTTTTTGATCCTTTGCCGGCTTGGCAGTGTTTGATCCTTTGCCAGCTTAGGGTTTCCTTCTTAGGGTTGATCCTTTGCCGGCTTAGGTTTGATCCTTTGGCAGTGTTTGATCCTTTGCCAGCTTAGGGTTTCTCCAAATGACCTTTTAATTGACCACTCATCCTGCATTCACCCTAGATGAGGGGGCAAGAACATGCTCCTACATTTGTTCATTTATTTATTTAAGTGGATTATTTGTGCAAACCTACACTTCCTGTTATGTGCTTGAATTCCTCGTGTGAAATGCTGTCGATCTGGATAGTAAATTGTATGTGACAACTGCCCTGGGATATTTGGGTGAAGGGTGGTATGCAATTTGTAACAACAACAACAACCATCACATTCATGTTGTATTCTGAAAACAGTGGTTGCCAGGCTAAAATCTGAGTCGTGTATACTCCTCACCACAGCATTTTTATAAGAAATGGTTAAGCTGTGATCAGATCAGAAAGCAAAATTAATCTGGACTATTTATTTTCCATGTGCCTCCTAACTTCTGGACCTAATGCTGTCATTTGTTCCCTTTTAAAGAAACCGTTTACAGTTTTGCGAAATGGAATGATAGAAACTGCAACCAACTCAACAGCTACATCTGCAAGAAAAAACTCTAAGACAGCAACTGTCATTCCCAACTGTGCCTTCTGTGATTGATGGACAGCTCTCTGGAATCATTACCTCCTCTCCAATCCCTCAAGGATCAACTCTCATCCATTATTGAGGGGCAATATTTCAATATGAGTAGGGAAATGAGAGTACTCCTAAACATTTTTAAGAAAAAAAGCACTGCCCATTGCAATGTACCATTAATCAATTGTCCTGAACATGACCATCTGGGTAGAACATTCCATTGGTTGCTGGGGTCAGAAGGGAAAGAGGATGGAATAGTTCCACTGCAGTGCAGTCTACATGGGGCTACATGGGCCTTTGAAGGTGACCTGGAAACTACAACTTATCCAGAATGTGACAGCTAGACTAGTGACTGGGAGTGGCCACCGAGACCATATAACACCAGTCCTGAAAGACCTACATTGGCTTCCAGTGCATTTCCGAGCACAATTCAAAGTGTCGGTGCTGACCTTTAAAGCCCAAACGGCCTTGGCTTAGTATACCTGAAGAAGCGGCACCACCCCCATCATCCAACCCAGACACTGAGGTCCAGCACCGAGGGACTTCTGGTGGTTCCCTCACTGTGAGAAGCAAAGTTACAGGGAACCAGGCAGAGGGCCTTCTCTGCAGAACGGCCTCCCATCAGATGTCAAGGAAATAAACAACTCTCTGACTTTTAGAAGACACCTGAAGGCAGCACTGTTTAGGGAAGTTTTTAATGTTTGATGTTTTATCTTGTTTTTAATATACTGTTGGGAGCCTCTCAGAGTGGCTGGGGAAACCCAGCCAGATGGGCGGGGTTTAAATAATAATTGATGATGATGTTGATGATGGGGACTCTTGCCTTTGCACAGTAGACTGCCTTCAAGCCAAGCAAAGATCAGAGGCTGCTTTACCCCTATCTCTCTATCCACCATCCAGACAATCAAGGTCAGTGCTCAAGTACAGATTCCAGCCAGACAAAATCACTCATGTCTGGCACAGAGAAGGGCCTACAGGTGAGCAATTGGTGCAGAGGTGTCTGGTTTAGCATCCCAGGATTTGGCACTGGTCAGGTAGCCTGGGATCCCCTTACATTTTCCCCTGTCCCCAGCTCTCAAAATCCCAGCTTTAGTATAAGCTCTGCTGAGCACCTCTGAGAAAAGAATTTAGGTTTGGGATAAAAAGTTTCACCTACAGGTTTCACCTACAAGGCACTCCTGAGTGCCTTGTCAGGTATCGGCGACAGTGCTGGACTGGAGCCCCAGAGGTACAATGTGCTTCTTTTCCCTGGGAACTCCAGTGCAGGAATTGCCCCTTCCCCCGTCTTCAGATATATGGTATTGGAACTGGAGCAATAAGGATGGATTCAGTGAAAAGAGAATACACATAAGCGAGTTTATTAGGATTACATTTTGCAGAAGTAACAAGGAAACTTCCAAGTGAATGGGAAGACCAAAGAGGTAGCTCTATAGAGGAGGTTATTTTGAAAATGAAGAAGAGCTGTTTTTCCCCCTTTGAGGGATGGGAGAGGAAGGAATGAGATCAGAGACACATCCACTAAGCAGGCAGAGTTGGGAGCTGTGGTCTCCTTTAAAGCTCTTGTTTGCAGATATAGGTACACAAAAGGTTACAAGGTTTATCATTCCACTTTCGAAAACCTAAAATTCAAGACATGACAAAAGTTACTATTTCTTGCCCATTATTACATAACCAAATGGATGTGGTTTGGAGTACGGGTTAGGAATTGGATTTGACTAGGATATATTTCAGATACTAAAAATCTGGACAAACTTGTTGAGCTCTTTTCTTTTCTTTTTGCTTGGGCGTTGCACCGCCTCCCTCCCCGAATCCTATTCAGGCCCCTATTCAAGGTAAGTGGCTTTGGGACACTCACCAACTGGGCTTCCTCCTGACTTGCACTGAGCCCGGGGTGCTTGGCTCTGTGCACATGCCATCCATCTGGGCAAATGCGCACGCAGGTCATGCCCAGTTAACTTTCAGCCTCACTTCAAATTGAAATTGCAAGGTGCACCAGGAACAAGTGAGGGCCGGCCTGAGCTTTTTTCTTTTTTGAGCTCCCCCAAACATCTCCCTTCCACCCCCACCCCAAAATTCCAGCTTTTAAAGCATGTTTGAAACATTTTCCTTTGAAAATAGTCCTGGTTGCCATATGTCCAGGTTTTCCCAGACATTTTGCTGCTTTGCTGCCCAGATGCCATTTTCAGGCCCTGATTCCCAAACATGTCTGGAAAATCCGGACGTATGGCAACCCTAGATTGGGCAGGATGGACTGATCCAGAACTGACCAACCCCATGTGGATTGCCCATCCAACAGTTGCCTGACTTCAACCTCATAAGTGTGCTCCTGATTCAAAATTTGCAGCTGAAATCAGGTCTTTTTTAAAGTGACGCCTTCTTTTGTTTCTTTATCTGACTTTAACCACTTCTTAGAGAAATGCTGTAGAAAATAATATGACATGGCCCACTTGAAAAACCACTGTTTCCAGAATATAATATGTAAATGAGTATGCATGCAATAAAACACATGCAACTAAACTATGCAGATGAGCTACAGCTGAAGCCTCCTGGTATGTTGGACAGTGACACTAAATGCTGAATGAATGGACCACTGCTAGCCAGAGTAATTGATTTGGAAACATTTCTACAAGCGAACACCTGGTTGAAGGTTAAATATGACTCATAATTGGATCCCTTAAAATCAATAGACTTTAATTAGTGATGGTTGACAGATGTACCGTATTTTCAGTGCAATTTAGTGAGATGCAACCCTGAGACAAGTTGGAAATTTAGAGGAATTGGAGGGTAATGTTGCATTCAAGGTGAAAACGCCTTTTTTCTCAGGCATGCAAATAGATTCCTTACCTGTCCTATGCAGCAGCTCCACACAATACTCCTTGCTATTTTTATAGTTGTTTGGCTCCCCTCCGTTCCAGTTGTTGTAATTAAAGAGTGAATCATCAAGCCACTTCCAATCTCGTTTCTGCAGGAAAGAGAAGGAACAGCTCATTTGACCAAGGAGGTTTGTAGCTCAGTGCAAGGATCTTCAGAGGAGGTTGCTCAGCAGGAAGCTCTTGCAAGCTATGATGGAGACATTAGAGAAGAAGCCCCTACCATAAGCACCATCTATGCAGGGCCATGGGTGCTGAGGCACCCACAAAATGTTCTCTGTGGGGGGTTGGCAGGGAGCGGCAACGTGTTGCATGTGTGGGCACCCCTAATGTGGTGTGGAACCCAGCATGCCTGGCCCCTATGCAAAATAGTGGAGAAATAATTATGGGATACAGCCTAGGAGATGATTGAGATAAGGATGGGATGGCATTGCTAAGGTGCCACTGTGCTGTGACGATGACCTGGAATAGAGTAATTGAAGGGAACTCACCTCATTGCTATCATGGAGCCCAATCCAGACATTATCTTTTGTCTTCTGCTTTGAGAAGATGTGATTGGCCACCAAGGCTGACTCTCGCTCTGTGTGTACAGAAGCCAGATGGGTCCCACGGCCATGGCTCTGGCATGCAATCTGAGAATAGAGAAGGCACTAAAGTAATTCTGCTACCATTATCACCATCCGCTTAACTGTAAGTCACTTTCCCACAAAATGGTGCCCAAAGTGGTTCACAATGTATTAATAATAATAATAATAATAATAATAATAATAATAATAATAATATATTTATATCCCGCCCATCTGGCCGGGCCTCCCAAGCCACTCTGGGGGGCTTCCAACAAAATATGAAATATGAAATATGAAATATGAAATATGAAATATGAAATATGAAATATGAAATATGAAATATGAAATATGAAATATATTAAAAAGACAATAAAACATCAGACATTAGAAATTTCCCTAAACAGGGCTGCCTTCAGATATGTTCTAAAAGTCAGGTAGTTGTTTATTTCCTTGATATCTGAAGGGAGGGTGTTCCATAGGACGGGCGCCACCACTGATAAGGCCCTCTGCCTGGTTCCCTGTAACCTCACTTCTCACAGTGAGGGAACTGCCAGAAGACCCTCGGGGCTGAACGATGGGGGTGGAGATGCTTCTTCAGGTATACTGGACTGAGGCTGTTTGGGGAACTTTGAATTGTGCTCAGTAACATACTAAAATAAAAATTCAAAAGTGATATCCCACCCAGTTGGAGTTATCCAACTGTGAACAATCATGTGTAATGTCAAAGTTCTTAATTTATTCTATATTTTGGAATGTGGTTTGTTACTGACATTGTTTTTGTACTGTTATTTTTTGTAAATCACTTTGGGTTTTAATAAAACCAAACGGTGTATAAATCTTGTAAAATTTATGAATGAAAGAATGAATACTAATCTCTCCTCAGGCAAATCAGACTGAGTGTTCAATGAAGAATGGATATCACATAACTTCTGTGTAAGCTTTGTGCAAACAAATCAGGCTGAGGGTTCACGAAATAAGTCCTTTGGGGGAGACCAAAGTTGGTTTTCTCACAACTCCAAATTCAGAAGCCTTTGCATACAGAATGTTTAGATTGTTTCAGAAAAGGAAAATAGGCATTTAAATGTATGCAAAGAGTTTTGAGCTGAAGGGATTTCCTTTGGAATGTTGAATTCATATTAGCTTGACCTCTGCTGCAACACAGATAATCACCAAACAAACAAACCTACCACATTCCATTTTGGCACTGCAGACCATTATTCTTTTCAGTAAGAGAGATGACTTGCTTCTTCATAATGGTGAGTGAATACATTCTGGCCAGGCCATCCCTCCTGACCACAGGATCCAACTTTTTTGGGCCAAGGTCCCTTTAGCCCCCCAATAAAATATTTGAGGGGGGCCACCACGGGCGCAGTGGAAGATGGCCGACAATAACATCTCTCTGACCCATACGAGGTAATTAAGAGGCTGCTATGGGAAGTATGCAGTCTTCCTACCCCCCCCCCAGGAGATGGGGGGGCTGCCTTGCCAGCGGTGTCCACAATGCACCCCCAGATCCGAGAGAAGGGGGTGCAGGTCACTTGGCACGAGCCCTCTATGAGGTCGGCTCTTCCTGACACCGGTTCCAATCAGCGTGTGCTGGTTTGCTTTAGCCCAGAATCCACCATTGGAATCCATGATTTGCTTTAGCTCGGAACCACCATTAAGAGACTGTATGTTTGGAATGAAGGGGGGGTGGAGGAAAAACTTTTCTTTTCTTTGCATTATGTGATATTAATAACCCTCCACCCCAGAAAGAAATAAGATCGTTGCGTTTTACTAACCACAAGCAGGAATTAAAGAACCATGTGGAGTGGATTATAATTAAAGAGATGATTGGTAAACAACGAGAACGGAGGAAAATTTTATGACGCAGCTTAAAATGGCGTCTCGCTAAGACAGGCTTGCCTGAGAAAGAAAGACAGGGGGAGGAGAATCAGGACCATTGGAATGAGAAGTATGGTTGGAATGTGATTTTAACCTGACAGAGCCCTCCTGATATACTCGGCAAGCCTGAGAAAATTAAAGGACAGACCAAAGATTAATTTTTTATGGAAGCATGGAATGGCGGCTGTCCCTGAGCGATATGATCTTTGGAGAGTACAAAACCCACACAGAGGATGCCTGTCTCTAATCTGCTTGTGAAGATTATCAGAGATCGCAAAGAAAGGAATATATGATAACAACAAGAAGATGAAGAAAGTAATAAAGGACTATCTGGATTGAACTGGATAGAACTGTTTAATTAAAGCAGCAATACAAGTGATGTTTGGACTCGTTCGGAGCTGGATGTATGGGTACCACCAACAAAATTTAAAATTTGGCTGTATAATTTGGAATTAATGTGATTTGGATAATGTGATGTGATTGGCCTGTTAAAGAAAATTATTTAAAAAAATAAAATAAAATATTTGAGGGGGTGGGTTCCCAAAGGCGATGGGCATTGCCATTCCAGTGGGGGTGTGTGTGCCATGTCTTGTGATTGATTGTGCAGAGCAGGGCTTACCAGCCACTTCCACACCCCTTATTTTATTTAAGTTGCCACCATTGAGGAGTCTTGACTGTTAATTAAGCCTTCTTGGCTCCCATGGAAACACATCCCTTGAACATGTTGGGTGACCAACTCAATCTGAAATGTTGGCCAGGTATTGTCTCAGGCCAACTCACATACATAGCCCTCCTCAAAAAGATCTCATGTGCAACCCACAACAATATCTTATGCTACAGCTTGGTTGGTGAGAAACAACTTCTTACCTCAGCTTCAGACCATGACTTTGGGCTATCAAAATATGCATAGCAGTTGCCCAGCGCTCTCAGCCAACCCTTGGGACAGGATCTGGCCCTTGCTGTATGGAAAGAAGAGTAAAGGAAGAAAAAGAGGGTGGGACAAAAGTTGTAAGAAGACTGTTTTTAATGTGAAATCTCACTTTACTTGTACTTTTGCTTATTCCAGTGAGGAAGCACAGGTAATTTAAACCTTTGTGCTTTCAGAGGTGGTTAGTGTCCAGTTAATTTGGTGAGACAGAAGGCAGGGAGACCAACAGAAGGTGGATCCAGAGGCAATGACAGGCAGTGCCACTCCCTGACTGGTTGTCAATATGAATATGAGGAGTGGTTCAGGGCAGACTGAGGTTGGTAGGGCAGTTTCCTATTCACTCTAATGAACCAGCTTCAATTGCCTGATTTTTTATTCCAACAGCCTTAGCTGGGTTACCATCACTTGGAAATCTAACAAGTACTTTTGTTTACATCAATGCTGAGCCCCTATTAAGATTTCTGGGAAATTCCCATATAATTGTTAAAACACTCACCTCCGGGGAACGAATAGGAGACCAGGAGTCCTAGAAGTCAAAGGTATTTTACACAGCGCATCTTCTTGTTGACCTTTTGTGGAAGGAAATGTGCAGCAAATTAAAAACCTATCCTTACTTATTGCCAATGTGGTGATAGCAGGAAGAAGAAAACCAGCATTTTCTGTTCTTGAAATCATAAATGGGAAGTTTAGAGAAAGAAGAGAGAACCCAAAACCTAAAGTTGGTGATTGTTGAAGTATCATGGAGTCAAATAAGGTTAGTGTGCAGATGCACCTGGTGCTGACCACTGACTCTTCTGGGCATGTGTGTAGTAGAAGAAGTAGAACACTCCCCAGTTTAAGCCCCCACCCTCCATCACCACAGTTACTTATATTCCAGCTGAGCCAAGGAGGGAGAAGTTAAAAGCATGAGGAGGCAAAGAGCAGGGAGGAGTTTAGCTCCCCTCAGTCATTTCCCATTTTCTTCTAAAATCTAGACCTCGCCAAGCCCCAATTTTTAAAAATGAATAACGCAAATGATTTCCACAGTTTCGGTTTTATGGAATTCTTGCCACATTGACTCATCTGCTATGACTCAGTCTTGCATGTGGTAGAGGATTCTGGGAAATATTCCAAGGCAGTCTCTCCATTTCGGAAGGATGCAGGACAGTCTTGCTTTCTTCTCCACAACTTCTCAACCCACAAACCCACATAGTATATGTATACTCACTTACCTGTGAGAACTGAATGGGACTTTGCTGGAAGAAGGATGTGGACAGATATGTGGGTATAGGGTATAATGCTAGTGAGAGCCCCCAAAACAAAATATAAACCAGTAGCCATAGCATCAGAAGTGAGTTTGTGATTGCCTCCAACTTACCCAAGTTTCGTCCTGTGAGGTGATGGATATCGCGTTATGCAGGGGCAAGTTTGTCTCTGAAGCTGCTGCCTCGATTCTTATATAGATCTTGGTGAAGTTGGGGGTTGGGGCAGGGAAGGGGGAAGGATGAAAGTTCAATCACTTGCCATATGTTGAGTAGATATGGATAGGATAAATATGTTTCAATTTCCCTGGAATTCTCTCCAGTGTGGACTTAATTTACATGTTGAGTAGATATTGATAGGATAAATATGTTTCAATTTCCCTGGAATTCCCTCCAGTGTGGACTTAATTTATGGTTATGACCACTATACAGTTATGTTTCTGACAATGGGTTGGAAAGCAAATACCCTAAATAAAAAATAAGCACACATAATTAACATCAGATAATGCATCTACCTTCTGGAGCTTAGTCCATATCTAGGCGGAGTACTTTGTTCGATATGTTTGATATTAAAATGAAAGGGGAACAGAGTGCACCTTTTGCTCAAGGGCACAGACTCACTTTGCATTGTTGATACCCAACAAGAATGGCCAGCTTCCTTCAAAATGGAATGTTTACACTGGAACATTTCCCAGAATCCTCTGCTACATGAAGGGATTCTTTGACAGGCAAATCCACATAGCAAAGAAGCCACAACTGTGAAAATAGCTTCTGTAAATTCAAGCTAGGTACACACACACACACACACACACATTTTCCCCCATGAAAATAAAAGATGCTGAAGGGGGAACTGAGATTTCAATCTCTTTGCTGTCCATGCTCTTTTGCTTTAGGTTTTCCCCCTCACTGGTTCAATTCCAGGATTTCCAGGCTTGTTTTTAGATATGCTATAAGGCAGAGTTTCCCAAACTGGGGTCTCCAGCTGTTTTTGGACTACAGCTCCCATCATCCCTCGCTAGCAAAACCAGTGGTCAGGGATGATGGGATTTGTAGTTCAAAAACAGCTAGAGACCCACGTTTGGGAAACACTGCTATAAGGCACCCACTCTGGCTGGGATGTTGTTATGATTGTGATTGTGATTATTATGGCTGGGAGAAAAGCTAGACAGGGGTGAGGGTGGGTTTCAGCTCCCATCTCCCCCCACTAGCATCCAGTTGACTCAGCTACTAGAGGATTGTGTAGATAGTCCCTGATATCAGCTACTAAAACTTTGTGGCTGCTGTATTTTTCTGGTGACAGCAATTTCCTCACACACAACCCCCCACAACATCTGGGTCCTTATGGAAGGATGGCACTCACTTGTGCAGAGATAGTATATATATATATATATATAGAGAGAGAGAGAGAGAGAGAGAGAGAGAGAGAGAATGCTTTTGAATTTTGGTGCTGGAGGAGACTCTTGAAAGTCCCATGGACTGCAAGAAGATCAAACCTATCCATTCTGAAGGAAATCAGCCCTGAGTGCTCACTGGATCATGAAGCTGAGGCTCCAATACTTTGGCCACCTCATGTGAAGAGAAGACTCCCTGGAAAAGACCCTGATGTTGGGAAAGATGGAGGGCACAAGGAGAAGGGGACGACAGAGGACGAGATGGTTGGACAGTGTTCTTGAATGTACCAGCATGAGTCTGACCAAACTGCGGGAGGCAGTGGAAGACAGGAGTGCCTGGTGTGCTCTGGTCCATGGGGTCACGAAGAGTCGGACACGACTAAACGACTAAACAACAACAACAAAAGAGTATCTAGTGTGTGTGTAAGTAGGGCTGCTGGTCTGAATATCTTTTACAGGAACACAGAAAATATTCTCACAGCATCCAGAAGTCTGAGTTTAAACATGTATGTCCACTGCCAGATGATTTATATTACGCTTGATGCTTTGCATGTTTGTATGGTCCATTGGGGATTTTTTTCTTGAAATATATACACACACACACTTACGCAGACACGTGTCACACATCTTTTTTGTATAAGGTTTTATTCAGACATTTCACAATACAATAAAAAGAAACTATTCTAAACAGAAAATAATAAAAAGAACAAAACAAAAGAGGAAAAAGAGCCAGATGAATACAAAGCTCTCTCTCACATATATCCTAACTTTGAGCTATGAAATTCGTTTAAAAGATACCTCTATTATTTAGGAACTGTGTGGTTATGGTCTTCCTGGGATCAAGGTCATGTCCCACCAACTTCTAATTTATTTTGGTAAGCAGAATGGTTAACTAGCACGAATTAATAAGAGCTCAAATGATTTTGATGTCCTATTTTTCAATCACTCAGCAGCTACTCCATTTTCAATCCTGCTGCAAATTGCTTCCACATAATATTCCATTTGGACTACACCCTGGTGAAGCAGACCCCTGTAAGTAACAGTATTTCACATTGTGCTCTTCTTAGTTTGTGTTCTGGGGGTATAGAAAGGTAGGCCAAAAAACAAAGATTAAGTCAACAAAACAACATACATAAAAATCTCTCAGTCTAACCTACCTCACAGAGTTGTTGTGAAGGCAATACAGAGAGAGGAGAGCCATGTATGCCACCATGAACACTTGGATGGCATAGAATAGGGGTTTCCAAACATGGGTCTCCGGCTGTTGTTGGACTACAATTCCAAACATCCATAGCTGGCAAGGCTAGTTGTCAAGGATGGTGGGAATTGTAGTCCAAAAACAGCTGAAGACCAAAGTTTGGGAAATGCTGGCATAAGGAGAAAAAGGTAAAAGCAAAGGAAATAGCATCTCCACATTGCTTCCACATAACATTCCATTTGGACAACACCCTGGTGAAGCAGACCCCTGTAAGTAACAGTATTATAGCCTCAGCCTAATGTGTAGTGATTAGAGTGTTGTCCTAGGCGCTGGGAAACTACGGTTCAAATCCCCATTCAGCCATGGGTCAGATGCCATTTCTCAATCTAAGCTTCTTCACAGAGTTGTTGAGAAAACAATAGCAAGAGAGGGAGAATTATGTGCTCCTTGGATGGCATAGAAGACGGAATATAATATAAAAACAAAGGAAATAGCATCTCCTTGTCAGAACATAAGGTCCCTGGCTAACGGCATCTCTTTCACCCTCTCAACTATGGTCATCCTTTTTCCTTACTAACCTCTCTCTACTGTTCATCTCAGGCCTAAATATAATGATGTAGATTTTGGGGAGATAGATGCAACCCAGTAAGCCAGCAGTAGAGGCCAAGATGGAGAAGATCTCCACAGCCACCATATATTTCCCTTTGGTGCTCAGATAAGTGGGGACAAAGGACAGCCAAACACTGCAGAAGACCAGCATGCTGAAGGTAATCAACTTGGCTTCATTGAAAGTATCAGGCAACTTCCTGGCCAAGAAAGCCACAGAGAAGCTCACAATGGCCAAAAGACCCATGTAGCCGAGAATAAGGTGGAACATGATGTCGGAGCCTTCATTGCACTGCACTATGATTTGCTCATCCTGGGAGTGCAGGTCAAACTCTGGGAATGGGGGAGAGGATGCCAGCCACCCAAGACAGATGCCAGCTTGAATGAGAGAGCAGAAGCTGATAAGGGATCCTGCCAGCCTCTTCCCAAGCCATTTCCTCAGGCTGTTCCCAGGCTTGGTCACCATGAATGCCAAAACCACAGTGAGGGTTTTGGCTAACACACAAGCAACAGCAATGGAGAAGACGATGCCAAAGACGGTTTGCCTCAAGACACAGGTCACCTTTGTAGGCCTGCCAATGAATAAGAAGGAGCAGAGAAAGCAGAGAAGCAGAGAAGAGAGCAAGGTGCAGGTGATGCCCCAGTTGTTGGCTTTGACAATGGGAGTGTTCCAGTGCAGACCGAAGGTCCCCATCACAACAACTGTGACCAGAGAAAGCAGGAGAGCCAAGGAGGCCAGAATTGCCCCCAAGGGCTCCTCATAGGATAGGTAGCTTATTTTTTTTGGAATACATTGGTCCTGAAAGGCATTTGGGTAGTGATCATCTGGGCATTTCTCACACTGATCTGCATCTGAAAGTGAGAAGCATGCTTTTAGCATTTCTTGAAGCAGTAATTAATAATATTATTGGTAGTGTCTATTATGCTGAACGCGGAACATATTACTCAACTGATGAACCAAAGCCTAATTTTTCAACTAAGTGATGGTTCCTCCATGAGCATCTCAACTGTAGTAATCAATCCATTCATATTTATTTGTCATGGTTGCAGTATACAGATTGATTTCAGTGTTTCCCCCTTAAACATGTCTATCTCTGCATCCAGCCCCATGTTTTTGCATTTCTAAGCTTGTGCCTCAGTGTTTCTTTTTTACACTTTCCGTAATGGAACTTGGGAGTGCATGAAACAGCCAGGTAGCCTGTCATCAGGAAAATCTATATTTGACAAGAAATAACTGTT